CCCATAGCATATATAAGAGAGTTCACCTGACATTCCTCTGGTTTTGTATTCTGCCCTGATGCCAGAGGAAACCTCTCGAATCTCCTGATCCAACTTGACCAATCTGCTTTGTTTGAGAAGTCGAAGGGCTCTGGATGAGTTATATGTACAGCTTCCATTTTGTAATGTATTACTTTATTATTGCTTGCAGAGAAACTTTTCCTCCTAGCGTTTTTTTCCTTCTGTCTGTCCCTCTGTGCTGCTCCGTGAGGGCCCGGCGTTGCCTAGCAACTAAGACTCCACACCATGCTCCACACACACAGTAGGCTCGTGGACAGACACGCTGCTGCTGCTGGGCTTCCTCCCGACTTTAGCTAGCAAGCATCACAACGTAATTCATTTGCACAACGTCTCTGGTTCACTTTCACTTGTAAATGCCCACACTCACCGAGAATGACATTCGGTAGCTAGTTTCAGCAGACATAGTGGCGATCAACGTCAGATCTTTTTCACTTCTGACACCAGGTAAGAATATAGAGCCGGGACACCATAGTGTTACCTTTAGGAAACTGTTTAGTAAGTTAACACCAGATATCGTTACAGAGCATTATGGGTACTGTAGTACAGTACATCATGCTAGTGACAGTGTCTTAGGTTCAGGGCAGGGTACTGGGCAGAGGCCGGCTAGTGGTGACTGTTTAACAGTCTAATGGCCTGGAGATAGAAGCTGTTTATCAGTCTCTCGGTCCCAGCTTGGACGCACCTGTACTGTCTACACCTTCTAGATCTCAACTCTTACCCTACAAGGTCCGGAGCCTGCTGGTTTTCTGTTCTACCTGATCATTAATTGCGCACACCTGGTGTCCCAGGTCTAAATCAGTCCCTGATTAGAGGGGAACAATTTAAAAAGGCAGTGGAACTGGCTTCGAGGTCCAGAGTTGAGTTTGAGGGTTCTAGATGGTAGCTGGGTGAACAGGCCATGCCTAATGTCTTTGATGATCCTTTTGGCCTTCCTGTGACATCGGGTAGATGTCCTGGTGGGCAGGCAGTGTGCCCCCGATGATGCATTGGGCAGACCACCCTACCCTATTGAGAGTCCTGCGGTTGCGAACGGCGCAGTTGCCATACCATGAGGCAATACAGCCGGACAGGATGCTCTCGATGGTGCATCTGCATTTATTGTGAGGTCTTAGGGGCCAAGACTTACTAAACAGTTTCCCGCTATACCCTCAGACTAACCATCAAACAGGCAAAGCGTCAATACAGGACTAAGACTGAATCCTACTACACCGGCTCTGACGCTCGTCGGATGTGGCAGGGCTTGAAAAATATTACGGACTACAAAGGGAAACACAACCGCGAGCTGTCCAGTGGCGCGAGTCTACCAGATGAGCTAAATGCCTTTTATGCTTGCTTCGAGGCAAGCAACACTGAAGCATGCATGAGAGCACCAGCTGTTCCGAACGACTGTGTGATCACGCTCTCCGTAGCCGATGTGAGCAAGACCTTTAAACAGGTCAACATTCACAAAGTCGCGGGGCCAGACGGATTACTAGGACGTGTACTCAAAGCATGCGCGGACCAACTGGCAAGTGTCTTCACTGACATTTTCAACCTCTCTCTGACCGAGTCTGTAATACCTACATGTTTCAAACAGACCACCAGTGTCCCTGTGCCCAAGAAAGCGAAGGTAACCTGCCTAAATGATTACCGCCCCATAGCCCTCACGTCGGTAGCCATGAAGTGCTTTGAAAGGCTGGTCATGGCTCACATCATCACCATCATGCCGGAAACCCTAGACCCACTGCAATTCGCATACCGCCCCAACAGATCCACAGATGACGCAATCTCAGTCGTACTCCACACTGCCCTTTCCCACCTGGACAAAAGTAACACTGTAGCTCAGTTGGTAGAGCATAGCGTTTGCAACGCCAGGGTTGTGGGTTCGATTCCCACGGGGGGCCAGTATGGAAATGTATGCACTCACTAACTCTAAGTCGCTCTGGATAAGAGCGTCTGCTAAATGACTAAAATGTAAAATGTATGTGAGAATGCTGTTCATTGACTACAGTTCAGCGTTCAACACAATAGTGCCCACAAAGCTCATCACTAAGCTAAGGACCCTGGGACTAAACACCTCCCTCTGCAACTGGATCCTGAACTTCCTGACGGGCCGCCCCCAGGTGGTAAGGTTAGGCAACAACACATCTGCCATGCTGATCCTCAAAACTCAGGGGTGTGTGCTTAGTCCCCTCCTGTACTCCCTGTTCACCCATGACTGCGTGGCCAAGCACGACTCCAACACCATCATTAAGTTTGCTGACGACACAACAGTGGTAGGCCTGATCACCGACAACGATGAGACAGCCTATAAGGAGGAGGTCAGAGACCTGGCAGTGTGGTGCCTGGCAGTGTGGTGCCCCCATTTAACATTGACGGGGCTAAAGTGGAGTGGTTTCAAGTTCCTTGGTGTCCACATCACCAACGAACTATCATGGTCCAAACACACCAAGACAGTTGTGAAGAGGGCTCAGGAGACTGAAAAGATTTGGCATGGGTCCCCAGATCCTCAAAAAGTTATACAGCTGCACCATCGAGAGCATCCTGACCTGGTACGGCAACTGCTCGGCATCTGACCGTAAGGCGTTACAGATGGTAGTGCGTACGGCCCAGTACATCACTGGGGCCAAGCTTCCTGACATCCAGGACCAGTGTCAGAGGAAGGCCCAAAAGATTGTCCAAGACTCCAGTCACCCAAGTCATAGACGGTTCTCTCTGCTACCGCACGGCAAGCGGTACCGAAGTACCAAGTCTAGGACCAAAAGGCTCCTTAACAGCTTCTACCCCCAAGCCATAAGACTGCTGAACAATTAATCAAATGGCCACCCGGACTATTTACACCCCCCCCCCCAAATTACCTCGACTAACCTGTACCCCCGCACATTGACTCGGTACCGGTACCCCCTGTATATAGCCTCGTTATTGTTATGTAATTTTATTGTGTTACTTTGTGATTTATTTATTTACTTTAGTTTATTTAGTAAATATTTTCTTAACTCTATTTCTTGAACTGCATTGTTGGTTAAGGGCTTGTAAGTAAGCATTTCACGGTAAGGTATTGTTGTATTCGGAGCATGTGACAAACATTTTTTGATTTGGTTTGAAGACGGATTTCTTCAGCCTCCTGAAGCGCTGTTGTACCTTCTTCACCTTGCTGTTGGTGTGAAGTGACTGCAAATAAAATATATTGATCTACTAGGATTTTTAAAAGACAAACTAAGTTTCTGTTTTGTCTGCTTGGACTCAAGAGATAAGTATAATGTAGTAGCGTTAATCTTTTTGAAGGCAGTCGTGTTCTTTTTATGAAAGTATTTGCAATTTTGATGGTATAATATAGTTTTGATGAATGTATTTAGTGTTTTGCAAAGGGCCATAGAGTTCTGTGTCTTGTGGACTCTGTTTTGAAAATTGCGCATACTTAATTGAGCAAAACTGTAATACTGGAATTCCAGGTTTGATTAAATTGAGCCTTTTATTGTATTTTATAATGGATTTAGACCGCCATCTACAGGTACAACCCAATATTACACATGGAGGTCAAACAGTAAAGAACACACAGAGCATGCTGTACAGTTATCTATGTTTGGGGATTTTCTGTTTCAGTTCCATTTGATTCCATAAAACCTCACAAAGATAGTTATATCAAGTATTTAAAAATCCTTACAATTACTACACAATGAGAGCCAAAGTAAAACACCAAATGTCTATACAAAAATGTCTAATAAAAATTCACAAAGCAATGCGGAAAGCTGTTCAAATGTTTCACGAAGTCCGAAGAGTTCTTTCAAAGTCCAGTGAGTTTTGCTTTGAACTCCTTCCCACATCATGAACTTTGACAGCTGACATAATTTGTCTTCAGCTCATTCACGTCCCCCCAAACCTTCTGTGAGTCTAATGGACAACACATTCCACTTTCATAGATTGAGACATTTTTTTGCACTGTTTCCTTTCTCTTCTGTTCTTTCACAAAAAAAACAGTACCAGACATTACACACATGATCACTGGTTTGCCTTATTTTCAAGGTAACATTAAAAACTAAATAAACATGTCAAATAAACATAAACTGACCTAAAAGAGAAGCCAATTCAAGTATCAACCTGTTTGCCAAACCCATTGACCTCGTAGCTTAATGTTGTTTTGTGTGTTGTCAGAGCCCCTGGTTTAGGTGACATGGTGGATTGGGTGATGACAGGAGGAGTTAGCAAAATAGACTAAAAGCTGTGAGGAGGAAATGTGTGCGGATTATTAGGAAAGAAGAAAAAGTGTAGAGTGAAATGGCAGATATAAATAACTAATACATAGTAGAGGGACAGATCAAAGTACCAAGAAAAATTGAGATTTCCTCTTTCAGAAAACCTGAGAAATTAGTGAGGAAGAAAAAAAACAGCATTTTGCCATCAACTACTACAGTCCCCTGTAGCTCAGTTGGTAGAGCATGGCACTTGCAACGCCAGGGTTGTTTGTTCGTTTCCCACAGGGGGCCGGTATGAAAATGTATGCACCATCGAGAGCATCCTGACATGGTACGGCCAGGATCCCCTGTCCTCTGGATAAGAGCGTCTGGTAAATGACGTAAATGTAATGTGCATATAAAAAACTGTTTTCCGACAACACACAAATAATGAAGTTCTTGGCATAAAAAGTACTTAAAACCCTGATAACATTTGGCACCTCATTTAGATTGGTCAATGAATGTCTCAAAAGACGTAATAGACTGGCGTCACTGGTTTTATGCAGAGTTTAGAGGGACAAACAGCCCACATTTGTAAACAGAATATGTCCCCAAGAGGACCACAGTGGTATTTCTCTCTCCAGGTTGGCACAGACACAGTTCCCAAATATGACATCTAGTCTCACCCACAATTAACAGTAAAGAAGAAAAATACTTACTGCCAAATACCACATTTTTACAGATCTCACACTGACTCTCAGGCAACCCATATAAAAACACACATATAAATATTAACTTCCTTGTCATTCAAAGTTAGACAATTGTTACATTTTTTATTCTTCAGCTAAATTGTTTCGTAAACTTTTATACAAATCTATAATGACAAGTATATTCAATCTGAGAAAATGTCCAATAAACCAAAAGAAACAGAATACAATCCAAACAGCTATATGAAAAATAGACTTTTTATTATAAAGTTAGTAAATTTACATATCATAAAATACAAAAACAAATGCAACTTTACTGTACTGATATGTTGACCAGTCCATACATTTCACTTACGACACCCTGATTGTCAATTATTATTTTCAGTTTAAATACTTGAAGTTGACATTCAAAGCTGTATTCAAATAAATATTATAATTTAGTGTTAGAGTTTGAATTAAATTAAGAGCATGAAATTGTAATCAACTCAAATGTAATTCACAATTTTAGCTTTATAAACAAGGAATCATGACATTCCATCCACTAAAATATAAATCACTTTTGTATTATTCAATAAGATTTGTGTTATTCAATTCACCACTAAATTCTCTACATGTTTTTGTTTATCAAAATAATTTAATATAAACAACTTCTGAAGTTCCCAAATGGTGGACTGTATACTGTCTACCTGTTGAGGATTTAAACCACAATAAACTACTCAAACTTGTTTTACTCTCAGGATTAGTCCTCTCTGAGGTAAGCCTCATGCACGTCATCACCACCACTCTCTATGAATGAGGCATACTCCGCCATCCTCTGGATCTCCTCGGCCTGGGTCTCAGCCAGCTTCCTCTCAGCATCCACAGATATCTGCTGGACCTCCTCCACCTGAACCTTGGCCACCTGCAAATTGGTCTTGGCTGTGGCGGATGCATGCTCAGCTCCTGCGAAACAAACAAGACTGTGGTCTTTTAATCAAATCTCACTATAACAGAGAAAGGGGCCAAAGATGAAACCTTCAATCCATGGTGATAACAGGTGACACTGAGCAGGTGCCCCTGTCCATCATCTCTCTATTGTGCTGCAACCATGGGAATTAGAGTACATGGTGACCTGGAGGTTTTTGTCTTCTTTACCATCACAAAGCCCCGTTGACTAACAGCTACTGATCCATACATTCGTCAAAGTGTGAGACTGACAGCTCTTGAAAAAGAGGGGGCACAAACAGCAAACTACAAAGTAGTGAGAGGGAGATACACAAAACAAACATTATGGGGGCCTTTCTCAGAGCTAGCAGGTTTATTACTGCACTGACAGGTTAACGTCTGTGTGAGAATCTCAGTGCTGACTGAGGACTGTCATGGGGAGCAGGGAGCATCAGGTACTACACTACACTAACACTAGCTTGTGTATGTATCATTGTTGTGCAATTCAAGGTTGTGGTTCAGTTCCTATTTTTAGTGATAAACAGGTTGTATTGGTTTATTCGGATCCACATTAGCTTTTGCCGAAGCAGCAGCTATTCTTCCTGGGGTCCACACAAAAACATAAAACACGACAAGTGACAAAACACTGATAGACAAGTCACACACATTTTTAACACAACCTTTTCAGTGATGGCACTGGTAATACACATACCTGTGTTGTACGCTTCCTCAGCTGCCATTTCACACAGGTTGACGGCATTAATCCAGTTTGACTCGAAGCGGTTGCATTCATCTAGTCTGCCACCAACCTGCCAGAACAGAGAGAGAGAGAGAAATCCATCAGAACATTTTATTACTTTCTTGAGAGGTTTATAGAGCTCAAACCATATTTACTTTTAGAACATCAATGACAAACATTGATGAAAGGCAAACAGGAGTGAGTAAAGCATTTACTATGTGAGATTGTGAGAAGGTAAATCAAGGCAACATTTCTTTGGAAATAAACGAGACACCCTAATGACATAGCTTTTCCAGATGGCTGGATACAAAAATACAGGCACATTTTTTTCTGAAAGATGACTTTGAAAGACAACAGTGTATTTTTGGTGTATTTGAGTACACATTTAATTCATCTACCTCAACACGCTGGCCAATGATCACTTGCCAAATGGCATCTTGCTCAGCAGTGGAGAGTTTTCCCAGTGAAGCCAGATATCTCCTCTGGAGGGTGATGAGGGTATGGAGAGCCTGAGGACAACGCAAACACATGGTCAACAACATGAAGGGTAATTTAGGTAACATTATTCCATTGGCTTACTGGTTAAATTCACATTTGATATTTCATATGGCTATAATTATCACACTGTACATCTTAGCATAAATGATAACAAAAATCCACAATGATCCCTTCAGGTACTTACTTTGGCATATTGTGTGATGGAGTCTACAAGAGCCTGAGTGGTCTGGGAGAGGTAAGTGTTTGCACTGCCTGTAACCATAGAGGATGCTCTTCGGATCAGGGATTCATGAGAGAGGTTCTCCACTTGCTGGATAGAGAGAAACACTCAAGTTTAATATATGCGCTGAAAAGGGGGATTTTTATGATTAAGGCATGCATGTATGATGTCAGCCTTATTCAAGTTGTTCAGCATTATTCATGACACTGATAGACAGTGAGAGAAAGAGAAAGGTCCTGTACCTGCATGAAAGGGACAGCGCTCAGTCCACTCCCAACACTCAAAGAGACCAAGCTCGTTCTGGTAACGTCTGCGAAACGCACGAGTCTCTGGCGCGAGGGCTTCCTACTGTTGAGGACACTTGCTGCTGTGCTCCTGCAAGGCAATGAGAGTAAACAACAACATTGATATTAGCAAGCTATAGTGGTTAAAGCAATTCGATATTTATCTTAGTCGAAACTGTTTATGTTTGCATACGAATATAATTCATTAGGGTGCAATGATGCAGTTGTTATTATAAAGTTATTTACCTGAAGAAATTGAGACATGCAACGCTTCTTCTGAGTGCGGCCATATTAGTCCGGAGCAAAAGGAAGTCCGTCCGACTTTGCAGAAGTCCCCCAGTAGCACAAGCAGAGCATTGTCTAATAGCTTGCATTTTACTTGTAATGTCGTTTATTACTATTCAACTTAAATCAATTATATATAACGTTACTTTTGTTATGTATTAATGTCTCAATAAATTGTTTTTAAACCAAAAATTCCTTAACCAGAATTATTTACCACAAAAAGTAAGTATGTCGCCACCTAGTGGTAAGAAAGAGTCAAACGCGTATGCTGTATTCCAACTGTAGTCTTGTATTCTTTTGCACAGCTGTGCTTTCTGAATCCTGTAGACTCCCAAGGGTATTTATAAGTCCACAGAACAAGCAGCCTCCCACCACACATATGTATTGATTCCTGAAATGTGCCAACTAGACATTGCCTGAAGGTCCAGGAGGGGACCTATTACGCACACACTAAGTAAGCACAAGGTTATGTAAATTGAACTCATAGGTCCACAGAGGTTTTTTCTGGCAAAACAGATATTTCAATATCAGCTTCAAGAGTTACTTTACTGATTAATTTACTGATGAATCAGTGTCCTCCAATTAAACTTAATGACAGGCAGTTCACCCCAAAGTTAGTCAGGCATTCACATCAAAAGTGATCTAATGTTGAGAAGAGTCCATGTCCCCCCCACTACATATGTTGTGTAGATCTAGCTATACAGTATGTCAGACCCAAATAAATGGTAAAGTTATAGGCACCATATAATTGAATTATTTAATGGTAGTTTGAGCTACACATATCCACAAGATGGTGCTTCCAACTACAGGCTGATCCTGACCTCAACCATTATGTGTGGCCAAAAGATTTGGTGTGTAGTGACAAAGAACATTATACTGGTTTTCAAAAGCCTATACTATAAGGAGAGTAATCTTGTTTGTGTTTGTGAGTGCCTCTTTGGTTTTATTCTGGTCAGTAGTTTGATCTATGATGTGTGTAGATCAAACTATTGAGAAATTCCGTGACAACTCAACAATAATGAGAAGAAACTGTATTATGAAGCCAAGATCAATGATATAAAACTTTGGAGTACTTGAAAATTATGAAATTATGGGCAGAAAGACAAACTTAACTCAAAGCTTATTCGTCACAAAACCATTTGATGTTGGCAATTATTTTACGATCAATAATGACAAACCTCCTGGTATTGACAACTTAGATGAAATGCTACTAAGGATGGTAGCTGACTCTATAGCCACTCCTATCTGTCATATCTTTAATCTGAGCCTAAAGAAAAGTATCTGTCCTCAGGCCTGGAGGGAAGCCAAACGTCATTCCGGTACCCAAGAATGGTAAAGCGGCCTTTACTGGTTCTAACAGCCAACCTATCAGCTTGCTGCCAGCTCTTAGCAAACTGTTGGAAAAAATGGTGTTTGACCAAATATAATTATATTTCTCTGTAAACAAATTAACAACAGACTTTCAGCATGCTTATAGAAAAGGGCACTCGACATGTATTGCACTGAGACAAATTACTTATGATTGGTTTAAATAAATTCTGTGCAGCCTTTGATATTATTTACAATAACCTGTTGTTGAAAAATGTATGTGTTATGGCTTTTCAGCCTCTGTCATATTGTGGATTCAGACAGTATTCACACCCCTTGACTTTTTCCACATTTTGTTGTGTTACAGCCTGAATTTAACATAGATTCAATTGAGATTGTGTGTCACTGGCCTACACACGATACCTCATAATGTCAAAGTGGAATTTTGTTTTTAGATTTTTTAAAACAAATTAATTAAAAAGGAAAAGCTGAAATGTCTTGAGTCAATAGGTATTCAACCCCTTTGTTATGGCAAGCCTAAGTAAGTTCAGGAGTAAACACTTGCTTAACAAGTCACATAATACGTTGCATGGACTCACTCTGTGTGCAATAATAGTGTTAAACATGATTTTTGAATGACTACCTCATCTCTGTACCAAACACATACAATTATCTGTAAGGTCCCTCGGGCGAGCAGTGAATTTCAAACAGATTCAACCACAAAGACCAGGGAGGTTTTCCAATGACTCGCGAAGAAGGGCACTTGTTGGTAGATGGGTAAAAATAAAAAAGCAGACATTGAATATCCCTTTGAGCATGGTGAAGTTATTAATTACACTTTGGATGGTGTATCAATAAACCCAGTCACTACAAAGATTCACGCGTCCTTCCTAACTCAGTTGCCGGAAACCGTTACAAAGTTTAATGGCTGTGATAGGAGAAAACTGAGGATGGATCAACAACATTGTAGTTACTCCACAATACTTACCCAAATGAAAAGAGTGAAAAGAAGCAAGCCTGTACAGAATACAAATATTCCAAAACATGCATCCTGTTCGCAATATGGCACTAAAGTAAAACTGCAAAAAATGTGGCAAAGAAATTAACTTAATGTCCTGAATGCAATGTGTTATGCTTGGGGCAAATCTAACACAACACATCACTGAGTACCACTCTTCATATTTTCAACTATGGTGGTGGCTGCATCATGTTACGGGTATGCTTGTCATCGGCAAGGACTAGAGAGTTTTTTGGGATAAAAATAAACCCAATAGAGCTAAGCACAGGCAAAATCCTAGACGAAAAACAGGTTCAGACCACTTTAAGCCGTACACTCCACAGAGCTGGGCTTTACGGAAGAGTGGAGAGAAAAAAGCCATTGCTTCAAGAAAAAAATAAGCAAACATGTTTGGTGTTCGCCAAAAGGCATGTGGGAGACTCCCCAAACATATGGAAGAAGGTATTCTGGTCAGATGAGACTAAAATTGAGCTTTTTGGCCATCAAGTAAAACGCTATGTCTGGCGTAAACCCAACACCTCTCATCACCCATGAGAACACCATCTCCACAGTGAAGCATGGTGGTGGCAGCATCATGCTGTGGAGATGTTTTTCATCGGCAGGGACTGGGAAACTGGTCAGAATTGAAGGAATGATGGATGGCGCTAAATACAGGGAAATTCTTGAGGGAAACCTGTTTCAGTCTTCCAGAGATTTGAGACTGGGACTGAGGTTCACCTTCCAGCAGGACAATGACCCTAAGCATACTGCTAAAGCAACACTCGAGTGGTTTAAGGGGAAACATTTAAATGTCTTGGAATGGCCTAGTCAATGCCCAGACCTAAATCCAATTGAGAATATGTGGTATGACTTAAAGATTGCTGTACACCAGCGGAAGCCATCCAACTTTGAATGAGCTGGAGCAGTTTTGCCTTGAAGAATGGGCAGAAATCCAAGTGGCTAGATGTGCCAAGCTTATATAGACATACCCCAAGAGACTTGCAGCTGTAATTGCTGGAAAATGTGGCTCTACAAAGTATAGTTATGCACGCTCAAGTTTTCTGATTTTTTTGTCTTATTTCTTGTTTGTTTTACACAAAAAAAATATTTTGCATCTTCATGTTGTGTAAATCAAATGATACAAACCCCCAAAAAATCTTTTTTAATTCCAGGTTGTAAGGCAACAAAATAGGAAAAATGCCAAGAGGGGTGAATATTTTCGCAAGCCACTGTAAATGAAATATTTCTGTATTTCATTTTCAGTACATTAGACATTTCTTCTAAAAACATGTTTTCACTTTGTCATTATGGGGTATTGTGTGTTGATGGTTGAGATTTTTTTTTTAAATCCATTTTGAATTCAGGCTGTAACACAACAAAATGTGGAATAAGTCAAGGGGTATGAACACTTTCTGAAGGCGCTGTATATAATAGAACACAGAGGGTTTTCTTTAATGGAAGATTCTCTAATGTTAAACATATCAAGTGTGGTGTACCGCAGGGCAGCTCTCTTGGCCCTCTACTCTTTTCTATGTTTACTAATGACCTGCCACTGGCATTTAACAAAGCCAGTGTGTCCATGTATGCTGATGATTCAACACTATAGACTTCAACAACCACAGCTAGTGAAATCACTGCAACCTTAAACAAAGATTTGCAGTCAGTTTTAGAATGGGTGGCCAGTTATAAACTGGTCCTGAATATCTCTAAAACTAAGAGCATTCTATTTGGTACAAATCATTCCCTAAGGTATAGAACTCAGCTGAATCTGGTAATGAATGGTGTAGCTGTCAAGCAAGTTGAGGACACTAAATTACTTGGTGTTACCTTAGATTGTAAAGTGGTCAAAACATATTGATTCAATGGTTGTCAAGATGGGGAGCGGTCTCTCTGTGATAAAGAGATACTCTGCTTTTTTGACACCACACTCCACAAAGCAAGTCCTGCAGGCTCTAGATCAGGGTTCTTCAATTCCGGTCCTGGAGGGCCGAAACACTTGTATTTCTACCTGGTAGTTAATTGCACTCACCTGGTGTCCCAGGTCTGAATTAGCCACTGTTTAGAAGGAGAGGATGAAAAACAGAGGTGTTTCGGCCCTCCAGGACCGGAATTTAAGAACCCTGCTCTAGATGTATCTTATCTTGATTATTGTGCATTCATAAGGCCAAGTGCTGCAAAGAAGGACCTAGTTCAACTGCAGCTGGCCCAGAACAGAGGAGCACATTTTGCTCTTCACTGTAATCGTAGGGCTAATAACAATACTATGCCTGCCAGTCTGTCTTGGCTAAGAATTGAGGAAAGACTGATTGAATCTCTTCTTAGTTTGCATAGTCAACTTACACACAACACTGACACACACACTTACCCCACCAGACATGCCACCAGGGGTCTTTTCACAGGTCAAATAAAATACAATTGTATTTGTCACATGCTTTGTAGACAACAGGTGAAAGATAACAGTGAAATGCTTACTTATGGGTCCTTTTCCAACAATGCACAGTTAAAGATAAGATTAAAACATATATATACAGTGGGGAGAACAAGTATTTGATACACTGCCGATTTTGCAGGTTTTCCTACTTACAAAGCATGTAGAGGTCTGTAATTTTTATCATAGGTGTCAGTAGCTGAGTGTAGATGCGGTGAGGAATCAAGCGCAGGAAACACGGGCGTTCGTCAACAGACTTTAGTCACAAAAATAACAGCACCAAACAGGCGAACAGCCAACCCAACCGGGAGGCAAAATACAAAGTACGCACAACACACACAGTGCGTAAAAATGACGATAGCGCACACAGTGCGGACTCTCGGAAAAACAACAGTCCTGAGAGTAATATCAAAGAGCAACAGCTTGACAAATAAACAATACCACATAACACCTGCCCCCACACACGAAAACTAAATAGGCAACCAAATCAAACACTAACAAGGGACAGGTGTACAAACAGACAAAACCAAACAAACATGAAACATCGAACGGTGGCAGCTAGTACTCCGGGGACGA